CAAAGCAAGAAAATCATCCAAATGTGCCAACATGATGGACTTCTGTACCATGCTTGAAGGGGTAAAACTTGACAGAATCCAGAACTCCACTGAGCAATATTTTTCCTCACTTGTGCTGGGCTGTGTTGAGAAAGCAAACAGGAAATTTTCCCAAAAGCTTAAGGAAATGGCCAGGTGTAGTACTGGCCAAGCCTGTATTTCAACATCAAGTACATCTTGTCTCTCCTCTCCCCTGTACAAGTGGTAACAATGCCAGAGCAGACCACAGCGGTTATCCTGAAGCAATCCTTTGATGAACTTGCATTATAACCCTGCACCCCACCACTCAGCACCCCCAAGTGTGGGGTTTGCTGGCACAGGTATAGAGGGCCACCTCATGATACCTGCAGTTTATAAGTTGAGATCAAAGCCACAGTATACTACCAGCTTTGGAGAGCAACAGCAAACAAAAGATTTTTGTAACTCTGCAGTAAATGGCTTATGTTCTACTCAGGTTTGCAATTTTTTTATTATATCTCTAACAGCTGGATGCAGTCCCCCTTAACCTGTTTCACCTCTTGCTGAGGAAAATCCTTCATAGCCATTTACGCCTCTGTTTGGTGCACTGCATTCTGTGCAGTCCAATCAGCAGCTAACGTTTAATTACAAAAGTAATTTGGTTTTCTGTATGACTCGTACAATCAATAAGGACAAACTTGGTTGTAAATAATTTGTCAGGCCTTACCATGCCTATATACATCCACATTTTTTTTCTCTTTCATGAATCAGACTATTAGAATAACATTAGATAAATTACCTGAACCACTGACTCATGCAAGCCAAACTACTTAATTCTGTTGCTTCTACAGAAAATATGGCTTTAGTATTCAGCATTCCATTTCTTTTTACTCTTTGAAATGACAGTTAATATCACAAAATTATCTGTACTTCAGCTACACACCACTTCCTATAATTATTGAGTAATTATCAACCACATTTATATTATGGGGTGTAATGGTATCTGAGATTCTTCTCTACAAAAGTGGCGAGCAACAATGAAGGTTCCACTGGAGAAGGTTATGGTAGAGATCATGTGCAAAACATTTTTATATCAGCTGACAAGATACAGAATCACAAACAAGACCCTGAAAATATAATAATTGTGTCCTACTATGTTTTACAGACTTTTTTATCAGGCTGCTTTGAAAAACTGGTAAGTTAAGTCTCCTTGACATCATGCACTGAGATGACCTATATTTCACTGGCTGCAGTTTTGCTAGTTTACCTACTTTAATTGCTGGAACCAAGCAAAAAGCCAGCCACTGGTGGCTCCATGACTTGCAAAACAAAAACAGTATGGAAACTGTATTTCAATACAAAGATGGAGCTGAATAGCTAATTCAATCACTAAGAGATCATTGGCCCAATGCTCTAAACAAAGCCCTTAGATTAAAATAACACTTAGCACTTTTATGGTGCTTTGAAGTGCTTTACAAATGTGACTACCTTGACAGTACAGAGAATGACTGTGAACTATTTGCGTTCTGACAACGATATTAAAAAATGTATATTGTCAAGTGCAGCTAAATGATTCATGACATGTACAGAGGTGCACAGAGGAACTTTTTTTCATGGACTTACATTATCTGAACAAGATAACTGTAAGGCAAACATTATTAGAGATAGCAGAAATTTCCAATCTACCAAAAATAAAAGGTACTTAAAAGATGGGGCGCCAAACAGAATAAATGCCAACTGGAAAACAATTGCATGTATTCACAAGGGACGAGAAAGGTTATTAAAAGGAAAAACTAGGACTGTGTCAAATACTTTCAAGCAACTGATGAATGATCTGCAAATCAACTTCTACAATGACAACTTGAGAACAAAAAAGGGTTTCCTGTACGTTCTATTTTATGCATATAAAAATATCAAATGATAGCCTGGCACAGCATGTTCTGTAAACTACAAAAATCCAGAGACTAATCTGAAAAAGTTTGTTGGCTAATTACCCACCTGACTTGCAAACACAATTGTCCAAACCATACAAGGAAACTGGGCATCATATGTGCAAAAAATTTCAAGGCTGCGTGGACATACAATTTGTAGCAAGGACCAAGCAAACAGGAAAGACGCATCATACCCATAAAAGCCTAAACTCTAGTAGTGCAGGAAAGCCTAGTGAAATGCCCAAAAATATACCAACACCATGATAACCAGAAAAAAGAAAGAAAATAAGGGGGTGGTGTCACAAAACAAACCCCAAAGAACTGAAATCCAGCACCAGAGAGGGAAGACTTTTGGCATTCACAAGAATGCCAAACTCTAACGGCCTTCTTTTCCCTAAACACCAGGGCTGTATATACGGACAATTCCACTTCTAGGATACCAAAGAACAGCAGGGATAACACAAGCTCTTCACACCTCACCAGCATTCTCCCTTTGGGTCCTTTACTGAAGGAAGGTCTTCCTTGGCTTTATAGCTGCCACTGGAATCACAGTTAAACCTTACTAGCTGCCTTTTCCTTTTCCATAATGAAGCCACATCCATACTATGGCCTATCTGGAAATCACAATCATTTTAAATACCTGCAGTCTGCACAGCCGTGAATATGCTCAGAAGAGCAGAGCTGGCACAGCAGTCACTTAGGAGTGACTTTTAAAGTGTTACCAACCAATTAATGAGAACGTGATCACTGCAGCCAAAGTTTCACTTTACTAAAATCAGCACTGGCACTCACAGCCCAGGCATAGGCTTACCGTAAAATGGGTTTCCCAGTTCTTTGATGCCATCTGCTGGATGCTTCTCATTATGGGTCAAACTCCATTACTAGCTCAGTTTTCACCTGGAAAAAGAAGTCTTTCACATTTTCTTTGGTTTATAAAGACAAGTGCATTGGATGGTTTACTTTAACATACCAAATGAATGGTTTAGCTGTTAAGACAAAACCTTAAGATACCAGCAGCTCCTAAGACTGCAAACTTGCATTACTTGCTCTCAAACTGCACTATCCTGGAAGACAGTTTTGGACTAAGAGCTATACCTAATAAAGCAGGATAGGGAAGACCTGAGTCACTGAAGTCCACAATACTCATATCAGCTGCTCTCAAATACTTGGCCACCTGCTTCTCCCTTTAGTGCCTAAAAGAAGAGTAATTGGTCAACCCAGAACTGCTCCAAGTAGTTTGGTGCCAAATGCCTACGTAACATAGAAAACTGTATGAAGCATTCAGAAATTACGTAGAGGAACACCTGTATCTCCTTGAAGGCCCAAAACACTTGATTTGCGACAAGCACTGGCTGGCAGATAGAGCAAGAGTTGCCATGGCTACCATATCCATATTTTACTCAAGAGTAGCTGAAGTATTCACTCAGGAAGTAAGGAAAAAATTGAACTCTTCTTGAGGCATAGGCTTGAATTAAAACCACAACCAGTTAGAAAACAAGGTTAAAAGTCTGTACAGTCATAGCCAGGGTCTTTGCACACATATCCAGCAGCAGAAGCATACAAACCATTGGAATTCTACCAAAGAGAAACTTGGGAAACACCAGGGCCAGACAGAACATTAGCACAGCTTTTGAGACTTACAGTCATCAGTTGATACACATTGTATGCTTGTATTGAGGTATTAGATCTTCACTGCTGAAGACAGTCTTATGACTATGCTAAACCTTATACACAATGTTAATAAACTTACGTAAACAACTATGTAAATTACAATGCTGTAATTCATAAATAATGCACTGGTGAGATCCTGCTCAGGTGTACTGAAGATCAAGTGCAATATCACTACCCTGTTAAAACTACTTCAATAACAGAGAAACCAAGTGGGTTTTTTTTCCATCCACGTTCACGCTGTTTGAAGAAGGGATGCTACACCATTGACACGACAGGCAAGTATTAATCACTTTATAAAAGTATATTCATTTCATACTCTGATTATTTGTATTAGGAACAATGACTGTAGATTAATATTTGGCCAACTGAATTCTCTGTCCACACTGTTTCGGAAAATAGCTTAAAAAGAGGATTTAAGTATGCTAAGATTTAATTTTTAAAAATAAAGTCATAATGAGCAGGTACATCCATGGAGCAATACATTAGTCAAAGCAGGCAAAAGTCCAAAACCAGGATTACAGTGAGACAGTACGTAATTGTTTTAAGGATGTAAGGAGTCAGTAAATTAAGATATTTAAAAATTACATTCAACTCCATATAGTGATGGAGACATAGTTCCAGGAACTGATGCTGGCATAGCAATATCATCTATGAACAATTCTGACATTAATTTGGTATATAAATGTGGATTTAGAAAATGATTGTTCAGAAAAATTAAAAAAGTTAAGACTCACCATTCTGACTTACAGCATCTTTTGTGATTTCCAAATACAAAGTACTAAATGACTGAATAAGACTGTGACTCCAAAAGCTTTTCTTCAATACCAATGTGAGCTTTAAAGAGCCCTCCTTTCTCCCCTGTCAACTTGTTGCCACGTTGTGCACTGAGCTAACAGTTTTTATACTATCTGAGCTAAGATTGAAAGACAAAGGATAGATTTAGTATTTCCAGGAGGGCTGCTAAAAACAGCTAAATAGCATTACAGCTGAATGTGAGATCATGCCCTACATACTACAGAGAAACTTTTATCAAACAGCCGTTACAGTGCAAATCAAAAATTCTCCATTTCTATTGTTTTTATACTTAAGTATTTTCATGAGTGGAAAACAACACCAAGGAAAATACAATATGTGCCTGACTTTATTAATTTAATAAACAATGCAAATATTCCAATCTTGATGTTTTACCAACAGTATGAAGCTAATGCTTTCCTGAACAAATAAATAACTGCAATAACCAAAATAAGAAAGCTCTTATTAAATAGATGGAACCCAAGACAGGAAAGTAAAAAAAAAAAAAAAAAGAAAAAAAAAAGAAAATTATGTCGTAGATCTTTTTTTTTTTAAATGTAATTGAAACAATGTCATCAAAACATTTAATAAAACAAGAAAGTTGTATGGTATATTTAGAACACCTTTAACTGTCCTCAGCCTCAAGATTTATGTTATTTCCGAACTTTGCATAGAGCTGAACTTTCAGGTCAGATAACACCCTCTGAATTGATTCCACTCGGGATTCTAATGCTTCAATTTCTTCTTGTAAACTTTTCTGAAAAATAAAAAAAAAAAAAAAAATCAACTAGTTATGTAAAACAAATCCAGTCATGTTTGTCATAAACAATAAAAACGTATCTTTGCCAACTTTTTGCCCAGTCAGGCTGTAAAACTTGTTACGGGGCCAAACAAAGGCTAGCATGACTTTGTATACTGACATCCCAGTTATGACTTCCCATGCATGAACATCCCCCTCCTCAAATCATATATCAAACATGAACTGTAGAAAGTAAAAAGTTCAAAGGATGAACAGATCATCCCATTCCAGTGCTCATCACACTATAGCAGCCAGTAAAGGAGCTCCCTTTTGCCCAGACAAACCTTTGCCTCCTCCAGCATCTCTTGTGTCTCTTCTTGGGAATGACTAATGAAGACATCTCCAATTTGGTAGGGTATCAGAAATGAATCACCATCATCAAGCATCATGATGTCATCACAAGCATCTTCCAAATTCTGAAGCTGTTTCTATTTACCAAGACGTAAGAGAGGTGGTCACTTTGTACTAGGTAAATTATTTAAATGGATACATTGTCATGCTATCAGTTGATAATGAACTTGTGAGTTTGGGCAAAAATCCTACCAGTTCCAGACCTGTAATTTAGCATAAGCACTAAATTCAATGGAGCTGTACCAATAGAAATTTCTAGTCAATACTCATTATGTGTCATTAATAGGATAATTAACACAGGCAATTTTTAGTTTAGCTAGAGAACAGAAAAGAATTAATAAATAAGACAGCAAAAGTTAATTATTTTATTGCCAAAGTAGGATTGCTTAAGAGTCCCAGCACCTTAAGCCATCAATGGAACATCAACATAAAAAGGCAATATTTTTACAATATACGTATCATAATTATAGAAAACATTTTGTGACAGTACTAGCATTTTTTAAAAACTCAGTAAAACTTCTTTGGAAATGCTATGACTGACATTGAAAGAAAGTGAATTAATACTAAAAAAGAAAATCAGAATGAGGTATCCTCTTCAGCCTAGCAAAAGAAAACTGCTGCGCTCATAATGACAATCTCTGTCAACACATCAAAAGAAAAATGTAACAAACAACTGCCTTACTGGTTCAAGTAAAAATAAATATGAACAATCTCTGGCAGGAAATTTTAAGAACATTACAAACAGCCATTATATGTAGACAATGCTTCCTATATGACAGCTAAGGAGTTCTAAGAACTGCATGCAGAAATATACTAGTGGCCTTTATTTCTCAGTACTTCTTTTTCCATTTTAACATTCTCTGGCTATGTTCAAAGTATCAGAAATCCCATATTAGAACCAAAGCATTACTTGCAGTAAGCCACAGCCCCTATTTTCTGTGTTACAGCTGAAAATTAACCCACAGCAATGAAGAATAAGTGATATTTGAAGCAAATATACCTTTTTCACTTCTATTTCTTCTTTCAGCTCTGTGATCCTGCTAGTGTTTCTTGCAAACTTGTTAATTTTCTGTTGATCTTCAAAAGTAACATTGACATCTTCTGCAGCCTGCAGGAGGAGAGGTCAAAATGAAGACTTTAATTCTTACGTTAACTTGAATCTCACTACAGGATAAGTCCTACAAAGCTTCTGAAAAATAGTCTTACAGCCACTACATTCTGCTTATACACTTGATTCCTTAAAACACCTCCTCAAGGACATCTGCAATACCCACATTTAGCTGGGCAGAGGCCCTAGTAACATCCAATTAAAACACCAGCTCTCCACGGCATCCCAACACCAAAGGTTGTTTTCTTCACAGCACTGACACCTGAACGGGACACCTCTGCTGATCACTGCAGGGCACTGCACAACATGTCGATGTAATCTGCCAGCAACATCATTTTATGCTACCTGGTTAGCTGTGCTATAGGAGATGTTAAACCCACCGAACGGCGCCTGAGGCGGGCCCTCCCCGGCCGGCCCGCGGAGGCTGCGGCAGGGGCGCCGCTGCTGGACACGGGCTGGGCGTCCTCCATTCACAGGCAGCCTGTGCGGCCAGGCAGAGCTTCTGCCACTTGACAACAAACTGCACCGGCACAGGCACCGCAACGTCAGCGAAACCCAATCCGCACTTGCCCGTTTGGTGGCACGACAAGCGATTTCGCCAGGGGCAAGAGAACAACGCCAGGACCTTAACCCACCCACAGGCGACCGGGGTGCTTTCGGCAGGGCCTAACCCGGAGCGGGCCTGCCCCGGCAGCGGCCTAGGGAAAGGGACGCTCCCCTCTCCAGCCCCGCACAGGGCTGCGCGAACGGGGAGCCGGCGCTCGGGGAGGCGCCTCTGGGGAGCGGGAGCCGGAGCCAGGGGCGGGAGGCGGCGGGAGACAGCGCTGAGGCGACACGGCCGCGCCGCCCCAGCGCCGAGAGACGACGGCCCCCAACGGCCGGAGGGCCCGGGCCGCCCCGGGAGGGAGCGGAGGAGCTGTGCTCTCCTCGGGGGGGAGCCCACGGCGGAGGGAGAGGCCGGGAACGGAAAAAAAACCCCTCCGTGCCCTCCTCCCGCACTCACCGCTTTCTTCATGGTGGCGGCCATGTTGGTAGGACTGAACTATTCACCCTCCCCACAAACGAGGAGCCGGAGGCATGGGAAAACGAAGAAAAGCGCCCGGCGGTGGCGACCCTGCAGGACTCGGGGCTCATCCCTCGCCCCGCCACCCCCAGTCCGTCGTGCTGCCAACATGCACCCCAGGATACACAGTAAAGCTCAACCCACCCCCGCAGCGCTTGGTACGTCCCGTTTAAAGGGGAAGGCACCTGACTCCGCCCCTCCGCCGGCAAAAACGAGGGCTCTGGCTGCGGCCTGCCAGCGCCGCCGCCAGGTGGCGCCATCAGATGGGGCCGGCGCTTCGGCTTCCCGCCCTCTCGGTGCGGAGGCCGGAAGCCCCCGGGCGCCCGGTGAGGGCCCGGCCCGGCAGCAGCAGCGTGGGGTACAAGGCGCCTCCTCAGGGAGGGCGGCCCGTGAGCGGGGCGCAGG